AGCTGCCAATACATCAACTATGATTGATATCATTTTTGTGTCAAATACTGTAAACGTATACAGTCATGGTACTTTAGATATGCCAGAAATACCAGATCATAGATTGTGCTTTTGTGAGGTAAGACTTGAAACGCCACAATAGATGTCTGCAGTATTTCAGTGCAGATATTTTTCCCATTTTAATCATGATGAATTTGAGAGAGATGCTGCTGCCACCGTGGATTGGAGTCACATAGATAATTTACCAAATCTTGATGAAAAGGTTTTTCACATTACTGAAAAAATCAACATGCTGTATAATATACATGCGCCAAAGAAAAGATATACAAGGCGTAAAAATTATAGACCTTATGTGACTTACACTATAAAATGTATCATGGATTTCAAGCGACAAGCATACAATAAATTTAAAAACACGCGATCCGAAGAACAACGCACATATTACAATGAACTTAGAAATTATTTAGGTATGACTTTAAAAAACGAAAAAGCCGCATAGATAAGGTATCAACTCAATAAAAATAGGAATAATCATAAGCAACTCTGGCGTGATTTCACCAAATGGAATATTCATTAACAATCAGACAAACTGATATTACAGGAAATTGAAGACCCAGAAGCCATCAACAATTACTTTATTGACACTATACCAACCGTTCTGCCTGATGACTTATTTCTGGACATATTTTCAGAACTCAAAAATTCTGCTGTATCTAAATATTTCGTCAAGTTACACCAGATGACATGGCGCAGAAATTAAAAGAAGTAAGATCGAATGCTGCGGGTGTTGATGGTATCACTAAAAATATGTTAAGAAACGCGTTCCTTTTTTGTAAGCAGCAACTAACTAGTATTATCAACCAGTCACTAGCCACAGGAGAATTACCATCAATATGAAAACAGTCAATTGTAACACCGATTCCTAAAGTCGATAATACTACAGAATTGAGGGACTTGAGACCAATCACTGCTGTACCTATTATGTCGAAGTTGTTAGAGAAAATAGTGGATAATGAACTTTGTGAACACTTAGAGCAAAACAAAGTTTTGCCTGACACCCAGTCGGGTTTCAGGAAACTACACAATACGTCAACAGCACTCATCAAAATTACTAGTGACATAATCAAGTATACCGATGACTCCAACATTACACTGCTAGTAATGTTGGATTACAGCAAAGCCTTTGATATGGTAAACTACAAGATCCTGTGTACAAAATTGAAACATTATGGTTTTCCCGCAGTGCTCTACAATGGCTCATGAACTATTTGACTGATAGATCGCAGTGCGTGAAAGTGCGTGATAAAATGTCCGCTCAACGAAAAGTAAAATCAGGTGTCCCACAAGGAAGTGTTTTAGGCACTGTACTATTTACATTTTACACATCAGATCTAACGGATTATATATCATCTGGTTGGAATATACGTACGTACAATTGTAGGCGGATGATGTACAAATATATAAGGCATGTAAACCAGAAGATGCAAATACCCTCATATCGGAGCTTAACACAAATTTAGAAATGATAACAAGGTATTCCAAAAAATATTGTCTAAGACTTAATCCCACAAAACTAAGGCTTGTTGTATTGGTGCTAGACTAGTTGTTCCAAAATTCAAAAAGGCAGTAAATGCAAATATACTTTCAGATGGTGCCACTATTCAAATTGTAGAGGAAGCAAAACGTTTGGGAGTACTATTAGATACAAATTTAAGTTTTGAATGTCATGTTATGAATAAACTCAAATTGTGCTATTATAAGTATAAAACGCTTTGGAAATATAAACACATACCGACATGTGGTACTAACTTAATGCTTGTAAACTCGTTAATCCTCACACATTTGGGTTATGGTGTCACACTCCATTACAACTTGCTTATAGAGGAAATAAAACAAAAAAATCAGATTTTACAGAATCGTTGCATAAAATTTTGTTATAATAATATAGCTAGAGAAGAACACATCACTGGTTACTATGTGAGAGAGAAATTTTAAAATATAACTACCGTTCATTGCTTTTTCATGCTGCTCTATTATATAAAGTTTTAAGATATAAATCCTCTGTTCGACATGTTTTTCTAAGAAACGATAATTGTTATACTATCCCAGGCCATGTAACACCTAAATTCAAAAAAGCAGGAGGTGTACCATCAGTAATTTACCTAAACAAATACTTTGAAGTTGAGTCAATAATTTTCAGATAATGATTGTAGAAGGAAGATAAACCAAAATATGTGTGTAAAAATAAAAAAAAATTAAAAAAAATTTTACCTTGTTTTATAAAGTATCCTCCCTACAAGTATTTCAGTGCGGACCTGTATTTGATCGTGAGGTCTTGGAGCACAGGCATGCCGTCCCCTTGTGAGGTCTTAAGTCATCTGATTCACGAGCCCGTTGTACTACATTAACAAAGGCACGAGGGGTTGGTTGCACTCGATTGGGAAACCGATCCGCATAAACATGTGCCATTTTTTATTTCGTTTGAACCACGCAACAGACACCACTCATCACTCACGCGTTACCGACTGACACTGACTGTATACAACTGAATGAAATAATTGTAAAAACATCGTTCCAAATTCTTTCGCTTTTTTGTTTCCGATGCGATGAACCGATAAGGCGGATTATATCCGTTGTTGCCAAACACGAGCACATAAGATTATTGTTGAGTCAGGGCGGTACTCAAACTTCCAAAGGGCTATAACTTTGTTACTTTAATTTTACCAGAAAAATGGTAAAGGAAAAAAACATTTCTTTTGATCAGATCTACTCACTCTTAAAATAAATGACTCAACTTCGAAGTCAAGTCAAACTAGTAATATCTTATATCGATACATCTATAGATATAATGTTCTTATTTGCCCTTGTAGTTACTAAATCCTGGTGAATTGAAAATAAATGCGGACCTGTGTATAAAGTGAAAAATAATGGTCACACAACACTGCTCAAAAAGGGTGAGTTAAAATATTGCACAAGACTTCATTTTTCGGTCGTTTTCCTACGTTATCTACACGAGCCAGCTAAACCAAGTTCTTTGCAACGATGCTCCAAAAAGGCACTATCAAGCCTCCAAACTGATCGTGGGTTATTTTGGAAATTTTTGCTGTTAGAAGTAAGACTACACATTACATTTTTGTGATATTGCGTTTTTGACACTAGTACACTCATGAATCATAGATAAATTTTGGATGAATCTCCTTCATCAATTACACCTCGACCTGAGCTCCTGTATGGAAAAATGGGATCCCAAATATGCTGGAATAATTTCATTACTTGCCTAAAAACTTTAGCAAGGCAACGAAACATCACAACACCATTTTCTTCCTTTATTTTGTATCCCGGCACGTAGCATCAACTTGTCATAGTAAATCGTACTTCGTATATGCTAAGAAAAATATTTTGATTGGTTTTAGCATAATCTCATTAAAAAAAGTTCCGTTTTAATGAATCTCCATGCTGCCAGACCTAAAATTGCGTCAAAACTGTTTTTCTTTCTTATTTTTTTCTTACACCGAGCAGCCGCGCACACAGAACCCTAAATGCCAGAACACCACGGCTACTATGAGGATCCGAAAGAAATTTTGTTAATCCGATTTTTGAACTGCCTAAAGTTAGTAGAACTGGGAAAAGTCTCGTCCTGTAGATTGTTGAAATAATGTACCACTTGGAGTACACAGGAAGCACGAGATCATTGTGAAACTCATAGGCAAAATGGATGCCGGCAAACGGGTCGGCTCAGGTCGGCTTGCCATTATGCCATTGGTCGCTGGGGGTCACACGCACATGCGCCTTAGCCGAAAATATTTAACGAATATTGTCTAAATAATGGAGATTTAATATTTTCCATGGATTGAAAAGTAAGCATTTAATGAATATTATAAAATAAATATTGTATTTAAAATATTTAAAAGATATTGAATAAATATAATAAAAATATTATATTCCAAATATTTATTGAATATTTGATGATAACAAATATTTAAGTAAGATGAAAATATTCTTGAATATTGAATAAATATTTAACGAATATTTCGTGCTGTAGGGGAGCACCGAGCATAAATAAGGTTGTGTAAAAAACCTTAGTCAGAATATCTTTCCGAGCAGATGCGAAGATGCTTCCTGGACTATTACCGCAGGTAATGAATGGGTGATCGCATGACAATGGCAGGTAACATTTCAGCCACCAGATATATCATCTCTATGGTAAAATCAGATTTTTCCACGGAGTGGCTCTTCTACTGGTAACTCTTTATTCTTTGGTATTAGCCTTAGCTTAGACACTTGACTACCTTAAATATAATAATTTTTAACTGAGTTCTCAATCATTGAATATTTCGTTTACAGGATCTTTCTCACCTGTTAAATCGCTTATAACGCGAAAACCGTCAACCCTAAAAAAAGTTATCACACACATTTTTTGTTCAGAATGTTGCACACTGAAATCTAGGAATGTGCTTTTCCATGCAAAGGTCTCGACGATCTCTAGAAATTGACATGATAAGTGCTTTGAAATCATTTGAATATCATCAGTTGGTTGCCAAGTGTCTAAATCAAAGTTCAAACCTTACCGTACAACATCCAGAAAAGTATTTTACGCTTAGTTCTTCTTAACCCTTAAGTACTAACACACCGTCTCCGAGACGGTAGCGAAGGAGTGGGCGTGGAACATATGCTCACTACTGCCTTCCCAAACGGAGATATTCTGTGTAATTTTAGTACGCGTCGATACGTCGTAGAGGCCAGAAGTGCGATTCGCTAGGACGCATGACTATTGAAATATTTTAGTTGTGAGCGCTGATACCGTCTGTCAGACGGAGTGTTAGTCTCGACGTTAGTTCATCATATATTTCTGACCAATGGATCAAGGACCCCGCAGTTCAAAGCGAGTGAAGTATGGCGATCCAAATTATGAGGAAACTCTCCTAAAGTAGTTTGAAGAGCTTGGCTGTGATGACAGCGATGCCGGCTCCGAATGTGACGAATATTTTGTTGTAGAAAGTGATCATGCCTCGGAATCAGAATTGGAAGGTAACACACATTTGTAAATCCTATCGTATTGTATATAGCTGTAATGGTTTTGTTGTAGGTGATGCAAATATAGCTGAAAATGAAAATAATCAGAACGAAGAAAGCGATAGTGGAGGTAGAGAAGAAAATGGAAGTCAAGAAAGTGTACAAAAGTACAAATAGAGAAAGACGACCACAACACAACATAGTCTTGCAGTTACCTGCTTTGCCACAGACAACAAGAAACATAGGCGATTCTGTTGATCCCTTATCGGTTTGGAAGTTTTATTCAATGATGATTTGTGTGCTAGAATTCTAAAATGGTCGAATGTCAGAATAGGGAGAGATAGGGCCAAGAATAAAATACAAACTTCTCCAACACTCAGGGATCTTGACATGACGTCCCTTTTCAAATCAAATACTCGTAATGAAAATTTAGATACCATATTTCCAACCAACGCAACTGGTAGAGAAATTATAAGGTGCATTATGTCCAAGAAACGATGCGCTTTTCTTCTAAAATGTTTGAGGTTTGACGACCGAGAAACCAGGGATGTGAGGAAAGCGTTGAATTCAGCAGCATCAGTGTCTAAGATTTTCGATATCTTCATCAACAACTGCCAGACAAGTTACTCAATGGGACATTCAGCATGCATAAATGAAATGCTCGTGGGATTTAGAGTTCCATGTGTGCTGCACTGATGCCAGAACCAACTATCTGCTGAACGCATATACAGGGTGGTGCATCGAAAACGAAACAGACGCATTTACTGACAGCTCATTATTTTTTTTGGAGAAACACTCAGAAGGTCGATTTTGTTTTCGAGGGGGACACAAGTTTGGCAAAAAATCACGTTAACACGTGCAGCCCTCTGGGCGGGGGTGACACCAACCCTAAAATCTTAAATGGAAAGGTGGGTCTAGTGATACCTTATTTTAAAGGTCTTTCAATTCCCTTTATAATGATATAAAATTAATGTACCTTAGTTCAGTATTTTTGAAGATCTATTGATTTAAAGCTTAAATAAAACTAATACATCATCATTAGTGGAGATCAATACATTTGGCAGCAAAGTAATTTGAAAATGAAGAATGAACTGACCCGTTAGGCAAGTAAATGTTGAAAATGGCCACCATGACTCTCCATGCAATAATAAAGATTTTGCTCATAACGTTGCCGCACATTTTGCAATATTTGAGGAGTAATTTGGAGGCACTCATTCACAATTCTTTGTCGCAGGTCTTCTAATGATGTTCGCTAAGTAGCATAGATTTTGCTTTTTAAATGACCCAACATAGAGAAATCCAAAGGTGATAAATCTGGCGATCTTGGCGGCCATTCAATGGCACCTTTTCTACCAATCCATCGATCTGGAAACGTCTGATCTAAATATTGTCGAACAAGTAATGCGTAATGTGGTGGGGCACCATCCTGTTGGAATATCAACCTATTCGCAATGTACTGCCGATCATTCTGATTTTCAATTATGGCTGTTAATGCAGGATCTATGGCGTCTTCCAGTAATTCCAAATACATTTCACCGGTCAAATTTCCAGGTAAGAAAAAAGGAGCAACTAAATGATCGCCAAAAATACCAGCCCAAACATTTAATTTCTGTGGCTGCTGTGTATGCACCTCATGATAAAATCTGGGATTAGAATCGGACCAATATCGGCAGTTATGACGATATACTACGCCATTTAAGAAAAAGGAACATTCGTCGGAAAAGCAAGTGTTCCTACGTTAAGTACCCGCAAATTGGAGACTGTGTGTGGTGTATAGTCGACGTACTGTCCAACGGATTCTAAAGGCTCATAGTTTTCATCCGTATAAAATTCACCTGGTACAAGAACTTAATAAAGACGATTTTGATCGGCGATTACAATTTTGTGAAGATATGAGTGAACGAATTATGAACGATGAACATTTTCTATTCAACACTTGCTTTTCCGACGAATGTTCAAACAGTAGGGTAAAATCGGGCAAAAGGGATATAGTGGGCAAAAGGAATCAGCTAAATAAATGAAAACAGCTTCATCACAGAAACCTGACAACGCTGTTTAACAATTCGCTGAGTGTATGGCACAAGTTCATGCGCAACGCGTTCCCTCGTGCTAAAGTTTTTACCTCATATTTTTTAAGGTGTTCTAATTAATTACGTCTTGAATAGTTGTTCAAAGGATTTTTGAAGAAGGGTAAGTAGTGACTCAGCCATTTATTCAAAACGATTTAGTTAATAATCGAAAGATTGGCACTTCTACTTTTCTACCTAACCTTGAAAATATGTCCATTGTTGCCAGCGTCTCGTAAATTTTTATTTCCTTTGTGACAGTGCATTTCGGGCAAGAGGAATCAGGCAAAAGGGATCATGATTCCTTTTGCCCGTATATCAATTTTCGATTTTTATGTAGGTATGTAATTTTCGCTTCTTTTCTAGATGGTTTTCAACTATAAAAGAAAGTCGGAACGAGGAAGCACCTGGACAGAAACATCCATGGAACATGCATTGCAAGCAGTGCGTAACGGGGAGTCGATAAGAAAAGCGTCTTTAATATATAACATTCCATTCTCAACGCTCCTTAAGCATGTGAAGTCTAATAAAACTACTAAATCTCTGGGCAGATTTAAGACGGTTTTCACTCCAGAAGAAGAACAAGAATTTGTTACCCATATCAAAGAGCTTGATAGCCGTTTTTATGGGCTTACGCGCCGAGATCTTTGTGTGTTAGCATATCAATACGCCGAAGCGAACCACATTATTCATTGTTTTAAAAATACGGACACCTGAGCCGACCAGTGTTGCACGAGCCAGTGGCTTTAATCGCCCACAAGTGGAGAGGTTTTTCGAAAATTTGAGGGACGTCATCGAGAAAAACAATATTTTGCCTGAAAATATGTACAATGTAGATGAGACAGGGATCCAAACCTCTACAAATAGGCCTCCTAAGGTTATTTCCCTGAAAGGCAAAAAGGGAGTTGGAGCTATATCTTCCTCCGAGCGAGGCACACTAGTAACGGCACTGATTTATTGTTCCGCTGCTGGGGCATATATTCCTCCTACACTAGTTTTCCCAAGGAAAAAGAAAAATCCAAGGTACATGGAAGGAACTCCACCAGGCTCTTCTCAGTTAGTAACTGATTCTGGATGGATAAGTTCCGAAGCTTTCCTGGAGTGGATGAAGTTTTTTGTAAGCAACGTTAGACCAAATGAAGACCATAAATGTCTATTAATCTTAGACAATCATGCTTCTCATAGGTCTATTGATGTCCTTGATAATGCCTCTCAGAATAATGTCATCATTTTGTCGGTTCCACCACACACGACACACAAGCTCCAGCCGCTAGATGTGTCCGTTTATGGCCCTTTCGGAACTTATTTCCACAATGAAATTGACAAGTGGCAAAAAGCGCATCCTGCACAACGCGTTACGTTGTTTGATGTAGGCAAAATTTTTAATAATGCCTACCTTAAAGCTGCAACACCAACAAACGCTATAAAAGGTTTCGAAAAAACTGGCATTGCAAGATGTGATTTAGATGTTTTTTCCGAAGTGGACTTCCTTCCAGCAGATGTAACTAACATTGAAGAACCAGAGGTCCGTATTAACCATAATCCTCAAGATATGGATGTTATTGAAATTGGACCGCCCAATACATCTGCCCATAATGATATCGCAAAACCTGAACCTTCTGGTCTCAATAATAAAACAAGCTAGTGACGCTCCAAAAGGAAATAATCGCATTAAAATTATTGATATTCATATTATACCTAAATGTGATAAACGAAAAGAACCCAAAACAAAAAGGAATCAACAGAAATCAGAGATTTTGACTTCTACGCCAATTAAAGAAGAAATTAGAGAAAAAAGTAAGAGCAAAGAATGTGTCAAAAGCGTTAGAAGGAAGATCCAACAAGAAACAGATTCCAGCAAACTGAAAATACCTCGTCCACCTTCACCACCGGAAACCGCTCCAGATGAAGAAGAAACTCCATGATTGATATGTGACGATTCCTTTGAAAACTCCATTCCAGGCGAACACTGGATACAGTGCAATTTCTGTGAGAAGTGGGCACATCAGAAATGCACAAGCTACAAGACTGGAATTTATATTTGTCAAGATTGTCAAAATCAGGTCAAAGATCAGAGAACATAATTGAGTTAAGAATAATTATAGAATACCTTTTTCAGCTTCTACTAATAATAGTTTTTTTTATTTTATATATATCAAGATTAATAAAATCAGGTTAAAGATTAGAGAAAATAATTAGGTTAAGAGAATAATTATTGTAAGAGTTACCATTTTCAGTTTTCCTTAATGATAATATATATTTTTCTATTTTCCATATTATATTTTTTCTTTTGAATCCTTTTGCCCTCACCTGTGATTCCTTTTACCCTAGAGGGTCGGGCAAATAGAATCAAATACAGTCTTTAATAATTTAGGCCGTAACTTGCTCAAACTATATTGTAAAGTTAAAATAGTAGTGTTTAATGTTTCTGAAATAATTAAAATCCACATAAAAGTATTCAGATAGATCATTTTTTAATAATTTCGTGCTATGAATTGGCACTCACTCGAAAGTGATTCCGGCTGCCCGTGTCTCCCCTACTGATGTAAGATTCTGACATAAACCATTTAGGGCCGATTTCACCAACATTAACATTATGGACCAATGGGAAAATACCTTATCGAAATGCAATTTGACAGAAGCTGTCAAAGGTCTCAGAATATCAGTGATTTCTATTAAAATATTGAATAAAATCGTGAAAATTCGACTGTATTATAAACAAGACCACTTCTTGATTCCAACATGATGCTTTTGTACATTGAAAACAGGTCAACTTTCATGTATTTTGATTTGCGTTATAAATTTACATTTAACAATCAGTCATCCCCAAAAGCCAACGGGAATGCGGCAAATAATAGGTCGATTTTCTAGCTGTTAAATTTGGCAGCAGATTTGGACGTTTGTTAATGCATGGCAATCTCGAATTTAAGTTCAATATACTGTTATCATTACATACCTGTTGAATAGTGTGGATTTGTCTGTATTTTGCAAGAAAATAGAATATAAAATACGTTCCATCCAATTCCTCATATTCCTTTACATCTTAATAGTAATCATTTATTAATTTACGGGTTAATGAATGTTTTCAAAGCAATAAAAACATTGTCCTCTCCATCCTAAAACACAGATAATATGTGTAAGAATGTTTATTCACTTGTGGAGTTATCTATCTGTCACTCGCAGGGTTGCCACGTCTAACGACGATCACGTCCCGTGGTGAAGGGTGCGACATGAATCTTTTACATTTGCTGCTTTTGAATTTAAAGTAGGAATACAAACATAGTACTTATGATAGTTGGAGCTAGACTGATAACATTTCTTGAAGAATATTTGAAATATGTGAACACCGTCATGGTCTGTTGTCAAATTGCAAATGAAGTATCTGAAAATTCTTACATACAGTGGACCTTCGTTATAGTTTACTATCCTGATTATGATCATTTTTAGTAGATGTGTTGTATCATCAAATTGATGAACAAATATAAGACAGCTCTTATATACCTACATATAGAGGATTTTTCATGTAAATTTACTAGGTAACATGATTATAAGCATCTTTGGTGGATTTTTCGATCCGGAATGGGAGAGATCTCCTATTTATGAATATATTTTTGGTGTCATCTAACCGTTGCAATAAGTGCACAAAAACTGTGACATATGATTTATAGCATAACCCGCTGCCCTATCAATACAAATTTAACATCAGGTCGCCTAGCCGTGGGGATACAGTGGTCGGGATGAATATCACGGCAGCTACTGATGAATTGGGCATGTCTGGTAACAACGTATGAAGTGAAACTCGCTAACTTCACAAATTTGAAGATGTTGTACAATTTCTTTGAAAATGATGAAAGATATGTCTGATTTGGCAGGGTAATGTCGCAGCCAAATGGCAGTCACTCTTTCTGACACAGTCCGGATCGAAAGATGACGATACTCGTGAAATGTATTGATACTTGTAAATATAGGATCGTATCGAACATCCCTACTGTCAAGATGTATAACCCGAGGTACCGACGGAGCTATTTTGTGGCGTCATGGAAATAATTTTAAATTTTCATTTGGATTTTTTCAAGTGTTGTGCAATGATTTTGGGAAAAATGTCACGAATAGTCTTATAAAGCAAAGTAGAGTATATTTCAACAGCTGGCGGAACTTACTCCACTGGGACCAGAAGGGTGAAATGGGATATTAATGCACAATCTGGCAACCCTGTCGCACCCTCACAAAATGGCCGCTGCAAACCACACAAGTCACCGTGTTGTGGTTGAATAGCATGGAATTAAACCTTCAGAGTATATGTTTTGTGACTGGTACCAAGAGTTGACAGATTCCACACATGTGTCACTCCCTTGAAATGCAATAATCAGCCGTATTCATATAATGTCTAATATATAATTTGTAGTTTGTTTTGCAGGTTTTAGGTTTGCTGGTAGCTTTAAGGCAGATATTTGGGAAATTCTTAATCTCTGTGAATACAGTGTGGATGTTTGTTCAGTTCCTGAACAACGAAAAATGTTGAACTTTATGGATGTATGGATATCAAAAAACCTGAATGGTTTTGTGGGAATATCAAACTAAGGTGCTATAATGGTTCTGATGAACCGCAAATAAATGAATGAATGTTTGGAAACGAGCAATATCTTTTGGTAGAGCCTGTCATCAAGTAGGTGCTTAATGGCTATCTGCAAGAGGTTTATAGGAAAAAACACCCAGTATCGCATATCAATTGAAGAAAATAATATAAACATGAATAAAAAATCAACAATAGTAATTAAAACATGAATTTTATTCAAAAATCCAACATTTCTTTAAATTTTGACTGAATTATATGTAATTTCTTAATATTCAATAAGCTGGTGATGTTTCAATGACAAGCTGTCATCTCATACTTTGACAGTATTTTGTTTTCAACATTTCATAGCTATTGGTTGCTAAAATTTGTTGATTGGAACTTGAAGCTCATTCGTTGTATTTGACGGTCTGTTACCCTATAGGTGGAGAATAACAGACTGTTGTTGGTGAAATTGGCCCTTGTAAGTTTAAATAAAAAACAAAAAAAAAATCAACACGTTCCTCTGAATAACGTATTTAAAGGTTAAAGCAATGCTTGCTTGCTTGGTAGGCTAATAAGAGGCTACTCTGATTTTCGCTGACTGTATCGAATGCCAAGAAAACGTATATTCAACTGGATAACGCACCTGGCCGAGCACGGGCGGCAATAAGCGTGCCCGAGATGAGTTCGTGCGTCGCGCGTTGCGTCCTGCGGCCGTCCGCGATCGTGAACTTGATATTCGCAGGCGGCAGCGCGGCAACGCAATGGCGGCGTCGCTCAGTGGCTGACGCGCGTTGCTCGCGATCGGACCGGCGGACCAAAGGCGTCGCGACGCTCCGAAAAGCGCGCGCTTTCGCAGGCTTACGTGCTGATATAACAATTATTATTGTTTCTGTTTTAGTATAATTGTCGTAATGAACTTGGTTTAGTGCAAATGACGCTTGAGAGGGTAAAGTTTTGGATTAAGATGAGTGTGGATGAGCTGACGCTGAATATATTTCGTTTGAAGGTAACATTCATTATAAATTTTCTGGTGCAACTACAAAAATATTTAGATGGCCGTGAATGTTTATGTTTGACATACGCGGAAAAAAAATTGTATAATGATTTGGTATCAAACCTAGTAGCGACAAAGCCCACTTGATGTTACGGTCAGAGATGTCTTTTTATTCTAAGATTATGAATGCATCATGTATGTGCAGTTTTTTGATGACTCACTTTGAGAACCATTCTTTATCTAAATATCGGCATCATCCAAATTACTCGATCATATAGATGTCTTATTGATGATGTCATTAGTTTAGTGAGGGGAGTATGAGCAACAATGCTTTCAATATAAGACGGTGTTTTGGATTAAGTTATTGTGTACAAGCTAACGTTCAAGCTATACTAAGAGACATATAAAATGCAACATCCAAAATTATTTATTAAATTTTGTCAAAAACTTGTGTAATCATATTTGCTATCATAGAAGTATACGGTGACAAAATGTTGAAGGAATTCCGAACCGTACTTTTTTTGTAAAAGGCTTTCTTTTTTTGTCATATCAGGATCCGAACAATATGAACATATTTACTTAATATCATGATGTGATGATATGATTTTTCTGTGTTGGTTTCATTTGTTTCATTGTTGTTTCATTGCATTATCGCAGACGCGCTAATCTCGCTCAACTAGTTTGAGAGGGGTCGGATAATCAGGTTACGTGGAGCCGGATCTTCTTTTAGAGAAATCGCTAATCGGGCGAATCGAAACGAAGCTACTGAGATGTTGTGGAGCGTGGTTCCAAGAAGGCCGAAATCGACGAGTTAGAGGTACAGGACGTCAAAGACAGATACAGAGCGACAGGACCGTTATTTGAAACGTCTAGCACTTGGAGATCATAACAAGAGTAGTTGCGACCTAGTGGTTTGATGCTGTCCAAAGGGCAATAACAATGAGGATAGGTTATCGCCGAATAAGGTCTTTTGAACTGTTTTCATACCGTCCCCATCTTGTACTACCTCTGATCTCACAGCATGATCAGCGGCAACGATTGGTATGGAGTAGGGAGACCATTGGATGGAATATGGAATGGAATTCAGTCGTGTTCACCGATGAGTCCACATTTTGCTTGGGCACACATAATGGCCGTACAAGAGTAAGGAGGAGATGTGGTGAGAGACGGAACGCCCAATATCCCATCGATGGGCATATTCATCGCACTGTGGGTGTTATGGTATAGGTAGCATGACTGCCCAGTGCTATATCTTTGAAGTCTTAAAACCACATCTGCTTCCCTTTTTGGAAACATTGCAAGATCCACTTATTCAGCAGGATAATGCAGGACCTCATGTCGCATGTGTTTGCGCAGACTTTTTACAAGCGTCCGAAGTAAATCATCTGCAGTGGCCTCCTCGATCTCCAGACCTTTCCCCGATCGAACATGTATGGGACATGATGGGGAGAAGGTTGCAAAATTCACAACACTCTCCACATACACTGGAGGCTCTACGAAACCAAATTCAGATGGCCTGAGATACAATACACCAAGAAGACATCAGTCACCTAATCCAATCAATGCCGCGATGACTTAACGAATGTGTAACGAACACATTATTAACATTAAGGTGGGATATCTCAGCTATTTTCCAAATTTCTAGTTAAATTTTAATCACTTTCTATTTATCAGTAGACCTAAAACTTGTAAGAGTATGCTCAAAGTAACAGCACTTCTAGTGGGGTTGCATTTCAATGTCATTTAGTATATATTTTCCAGACTTCATAAAACACAAGTATTTTTCGAACATCACCATTAATATATGTAAAATACTACGTCAAATTATAAATCAGTAATACGCGAAGTTTGATGGTTTTTCTGAAAAATGTATGATTTTCACTCATAACTCTGCTATACCAATTTTTGTTATCTACTCTGAACTTATATCATTACCACTCCTAAAATCGCATTAAAATCGATGCAATGTTAGCCGAAAATTAGTGTATATTCGAAAATAGACCCATATCAATGCCGGCTTCAGACCTTTGTGCGCCCTTATTCTCCCCAAACAAAAAAACTTGTAACTTTTATTAAAACAAAAAGTTACAAACTTGCATTGTAAACAACAGTAACTACATATGCAACTGTAAGATACTTTAAAAGAATCGAAACACCCACTACACTCAAGTTGTCATCAAACGTAGCCATCAAGCGTCAAAAACTTTGTTCTTTAAGCTTTGCAACAAAATCAAATTTTATCCAGTCATACTAGACACAGATGCAACACGATCCATATATCTCTTTGGAAAATTATAACCCTGAATGAGACAAATTTTCTTGCTACATTGAGCGATTCGAAAACTACATGGCAATAAAGAATTTAGCAGATGCTACAAAACGTGTCCGGTGGTATAACAACAATTATTTAACATCATTTTTGGGTCCAGAGAAACCTACTTACAGTAAACATATTGCTATTGTTCATCGTTCGGTTTTTAAGATAGTGAAATTTTCTCCTTCAGTACTTCGCGATATTATCACTACATCACTGAATAGGTAATCGTACAGAAGCAGTGTTTCGAAATGCTTAATCTTTCATAGAAGAAATGAAAATAACCACCTAGATGTACAAAAAAAGAACTCCGAATAGTAGTATGCTTGCAAAACGAAAGCTCGGTAGCAGGAATGCGTTTTGGCTACTGGGAGATAAACGTGTTCTTGAAAAAGAGGAGGCAAACATTTTCATATAAAAGAAATTAATTAATTTAGACTCAGCATGCGTATTTTAATAAAAAGTAGTCTGGGCGAAAGCTCAGAGAGTCCATTGGTTTTCTCTGGATTTTTACAGCGTACCTATTAACCCATATATCACCCGATGCAAATTAGTTGCCTCTTCATATGTACAATCTCCGGATTTCCCCCAAATTTTGCAGCTTCTGCCGACCCTTTAGCTTTCACTTACGCCAGCGGCTTTCCTGTTCATGGACAAGGAAGTATCATAGTCGCGAAAAATTCCGAAACGAGACATTATGTTTTTTGGATGTTATATGACACGTACATCACAGAAAACCATGTCACTTAGTTCCGTCGGTCTGTCTGTCGGTCTACCTGTCTGTTGATCTGGCCGGTAATCCTTGGACCCTCTTTGGATCTTTTCTAGATATTTTCTAGACCGAGACATGTCCGTACTGGAAATTAGACTAGACCTACATATACTATTTATTCTCTGTCATAATCAGGTTAGGGAATTATTCAATGGGTCCGATTGTAAAATGAACAAATGACTGAATTAAACAAAATAATTGGTGAATTTCTCTTTCCAACTCCTACGGTTAGCTTCTATAAATTATCGATTAGAAAAGCAATAATTCTTATGTGGTTAATTTTTTAACCGGGTTTTCAACCAAATATTGAAATACCGTCCCTAGACAATATAAAAAACAATACTTGTTACTTGGGGTGAAACGCTAGAAACAGAACGGAATAATAGGATGTCGACATGTATTTGGATTGCTAAATAATGAATTTTTAATGAGCCCACAGATTCGTGTGCCACTGCAAGCTATTGAATTATGTGGCAGCCAAAATTTTGGTGTCCGTCTCCGATGCTAGCGACGTCGCCATGGCGTATTGGTAACTCCTGACTAATAGCTCCGTTTAGATTGACATTATAAGTATGCATCTCATAATGAGGTTTTTTGTAATGTCACCTAAAAGCGGTATCTTAATTTTTTTAGTGACCGTGATGAAAGGAAACCTCGCAAGGTAACACAGGTAAGGTGAGGTAGCGCAGTAATAGCAACATCAAATTAGAAGTCGATTCGAAGGTTATAAGATGGGGCTAATTTAAAGCTGACTACGAACAGTTTTACTGCTGCTAGCTTAAATAATACCCTGGCTATTATTGTGACGACTCGTGTCGCACCTGGGTCACTCTGCGTGTCAAAAAAAAAACATATCGCCATTCTTGGTCAGTAGCTTGTCAGGAATGGTGTATTCCTATGAAATACGAAGATACAAAGAGTGTACAGCTAACTGAGGATAACTAAACGTGTCAACTAAATTGTGCCCACGATGTTCATAAGCGTTGCTTTGATGAATACGAGTATTTACACATAATTGCTGGCTGATAAGGCTAACCATCGTTAAAGCATAACATAGACTATGGCTAGCGACGTCTCCATGGCGTCTTGGTGAAGGAGTATGCATGAAAGTATGCATCTCATAATAAGGTTCTTTATTATGTCACCTAAAAACGGCATTATACATTTTTTTGATGGCCACGCTTATTTTAGGCACTAGTCGCGTTCAGCGTGTCACAGAGCTACTATTAGTTTATTTGCCTTTAGGCCGGGCGAAAGCTGGAACACACGTGAGGTGAGGTTGCGCACTAAGCTAAGTCAATCTGAGCTATCTATCTCAAATGTTATCTTGGCTATTATTGCAACGTCTCGTATCGCACCTGCGTCACCCTGTGCGTCAGCCTTCGCTAGGCCAGTTTATGATAGGTATATTCGGGTTCAAAATTCAGTACTGTAACGGAACGGTTCTGGAACTGCGCAAGACTGAATGCGTGAAGGGGAAGATCTTGGAAGCGGTTAGGAACAGTCCGTGAACTATCAGAATTTTGCCAACACCCGAACAGCCTGAACCCAGGACTACGGCAACACAGAACAGAAAATTATTTGTCATTTGTCAGTTACCATAAATAACCTCATTTCTTTCTTATGAAGTTTACACAAAAGTTTTTTACGCAGTTTGTTTTGTTTGGTTTAGTATATTTTTTTTGTTAATTTGTACTTAGATTTAGAAATGGGAAGCGAAGGTAATTTAATACACTTTTTCGCTAGTAAAAGAATGTTGAGTAAAATGTAGATTTATCTATTTTAGAACTGAATATGAATGATTTCCTACCGGTACCTGATAAATCATCCGAAGGCAAGACCCTAGAATGTTTTTTCACGAGAGAGAGGACCCTTAAACTTTTACAGTTATATAAAGTAAACAGGAAAAAGCTTGGCTCATATGAAGTCAAAAATATGAAGAAACTGTGGGAAATAATAGCACATGATCTTTCTACTGAATATAAAATAACAATTCCAGCAAATAAGTGTGAAAATAAATTTAAAGTGTTAGAAAGAAATTACAAAAAGGTTATTGAAAACAACAACAAAACAGGCAGGGGCAGGAAGTTGTTTGAATATGAGCAAGACATGGATGAGATCTTTGAGAAAAAGAAGAATATCAATCCAGTCATATTGCTATCCAGTTCGTCCACCTAAAATCCAAACAGAAAGCTCTGTACATATCGAATTATCTATTCCAGAAATTATTGATACTCAACCTTCTTGTTCGTACAATACTCTAACCAAAGATAATCCCCTCGGAGAAACAGCAAGTACATCCTCTAAGACATCTTTAAAAAGGAAGAGACATAGCCCTATGTATGTCAAAAGAAACGATATACTTTTAGAATTAAAAAATGATCTGAAAGTATTTTATGAAAAAAGGACCAGAGGGCCCAAGAGAAGTTAGAGATTGAGAGAAGAAAACTGTCTGATACGGAAAAAAGAACATCAATTATTAGGGACAAACAAAATGATTTTTCCAAAGATCCTTCCCAATAAAAAAATGTTCGTTTCCAGTATGCTAGTTTTATGTTCTTCATGACAAAGTGGTATTTTTGTTTTGTTTTTGAAAATGTAATTCAGTTTTCTGTTTATAATTTGTTCCTTATTTTGGAATTTAAATTTTGTTTATACATATTCTACAGCAAACATAGAGATTTAAATCAAAGTGTTTGGCTATTACAATAGGTTATCAGTTCCTCAGCTTTTACTGTTATTTTTCACGGATTCTATGTTAATGTATACCAAAGTGTTCCATGTTTTAGAGTGATATTTATGTGTACATATATTGTTGGAAATGAGCTTCTCATTATCAGAATTACAAAGGATAGAAGATAATATAAACTGGTAATAACACTTCAAAAATATTCCCCAATTTTTGTGGGGAAAGTGATATTTCCATATTCCATATGGTAAGCAGTGTTTAGATTTGTAAGAAAAAAAATATGTTTTCTGTTTGTAACACTATGTATCCATATCTGTGATTATATACTAAGCAGTTTTTAAGAAAAAATATTTTTTATTTGTCACACTCTCTATCCTTATCTGTGATTATATGCTAAGCAGTTTCTAGATTTTTAGGAAATTATATTTTATATAGGTATCATATTTATTTTTGATACACTGTATCTCAACTCAAACTCAAAGTGGCTTTCTTGTCACAAGTACATTAAAGTTCTTATTAACAAAGCAATAACCAAACAATTCTGGACCCATGTTTATTAGAACTTCTTCCATGTGTGGATGACCAAGCTCCTGCCAAGCATCCTGTATAACAGTATTATTAATTTTACTGAATTAAAATTGTTAATAAAATTGTTTTATTTATTGGAAAAGTCCTAGTAAAACAAATTCTCGCTGCAAATAGTGTGAGTGCTAGTACGAAGGAAAAAATGACACATTTATCCATGTATTTGCAAATAAATTTATTATGAAAATAATTAAACACATATTTACTGTAGCACTATCACTTTAAAAGCTACATACTATATATCTAATAATGAAGCCACATAATTCCTGTAGTTTTGACCAACCTAATTATGTCCATCATATTGTACATGGTCATTAAAAGGATTTTCATTTCCCTCATCACCTACATCTACTGCCTCATCAAGTACAACATTGCTATCAATGCAGAGGTTATCTAGCACGCAACATGCCCTAATAAAATGGCATATAAACTTAATATCTCTTGATTTGAAATGATACAGTTGCCTAAACCTCTGTTTTAGGAGACCTATTGTGTGCTCAATTAACACTCTACAATGACTCAATTTTTTATTAACACTCTTTTGCACCTGCGACAAACTACCTGTTTCCTTATAAGGAGTTAATAAGTTCCTCAAACAAGGATGGGCGCTGTCTCCCAGAATTACCCAGTCCTTACACCACTGTCCTAAATTTTGGCACAGCGGACTATTCCGGAACACTCTTGCATCATGGACACTACCTGGGTACCCAATAAACACATCCTTTATCTTTCTATTGTCATCACAGATAACTTGCATCTGAAAGAAAAAACTTGTTCTCAAAATATCCACATACTGACATAAAATAGCTGGATACTGCACAAATTTGCCACTTATCTGAATCGAATGGAACTTTTTCCTATTCAAATAAGAATCAGGATCTTCTCGGGGGGTATCAATTTTAATATGGCTCCCATCTATGCACCCTATTGCTCCTGGAAACCTCATTTCAGCAAAAATTCTGGCTATGTTGTTAGCCTCTGGAGCCAATGGCCATACAATGACACTTCGAGACAGATTTGATAAGAAATGTACAATATTGACAATGCCATGTAGGATACTCATTGACAGATCAAACCTATCTGCCACATCTCTAAATGCTGCACCCTCATTGCTTGTGAACCAAAGAAATGCCAAGATACATTTTTCACTGTCTATCCTCTGGAAACCAGTGTCTTTCTTTGAATAAAACTCAGACTCTTCAAAATCTCTTTTTAAAGTAGCAACAATTTGCCTTGAAACTCTGAAAAAGAAATGCATTCTATGTAAATTAGTGTGCAATCTCGATGTAATATACTAATAATTATTTTGTTTAGTGCTACTAGGGACTTTAGGAAGTTGATTTGCTGGATAAAAAAATATCTTACCTAAAATGCTCAACAAACTGTTTGTCAGTATAGGAAGGAACAGTTTCCTCACAGAAATTATTATTTTTGCTCACATCTTTGAGAAGCTCTGGCAAAAATAAGTTGGAGATAACTGCCTTAAGTTCATCATCACTGTGAGACGACGATGATGATGACGAATCGGAATCAAAAATGATCTGCATTGGATCCATTTGTCCACTTTTCTTTTAATTTTAGATAAAAAACACTCCTCAAACCGCAAAAAGTAAACAGCATTAAAGCACAACACGTCAAACGTCAAACAAATTCAATTACAAAACACATAAGACTGATTTTAATGACATTGGCAGAAGGAATACGCATCCGTGAAAAATCAGTTTAACAATGGTCCCGGCAGTGAAGCAAGAACTGCTTGAACGATTCGCGAACCATCCTAGAACTGAACCACGGTATAACTCGAACATCACATTTCAGTTCGAAAACGGTCCCAAAATAATCCAACAAAAACCCGAACAGATCCGTTTCTTCCGCGCATGCTTCTGATAGTTCTAGAACAGTAATAATAAAAAACCGAAGAAACCTAATGTCATAAAACCATTTCACCAGTCTTGGTCAATAGGTTTTTATATATATAATAATGTGCGAAGATACAAAGGGTGTACAGCTAACTGAAGATAACTAAACGTGTTCGTCCTTCAATTTATTTTGCCGTGCTCCATGCTATAAAGCAATTAATAAGTGTCAACTACATTGTGCCCACGATTTACATAAACGTTGCTTTGATGAATATTTACACGTAATTGCTGGCTGATAAGGCAGGCCTGCTAACCATCATCAAAGCACATAGACTACGAATAGTTGGATCACCGCCGAAAAAACCCACCATGTACGGTCTCTTTCAGCGGTGACCTTTACAACTCCAATCTTGTTTTAGTGACGGATAGTCTCGACAATTCGGTCCCTCCATCAGATAGGGTCCCACACGTTTCGCTGCTGTCAAGGCGGCGACTGACTGAAGCCGAGCGCTGTAACACAAATTTCGATATTGACTCGCTAAAGCGAGCCCCGAACAGAGCCGCTCACGACGAGCAAATCATGCTCCATATGACTGTCGGTTTTTTGACGAATCCCTTTGATGGTTACATTACAAGTCAGTACAGGTGGCGACTAGTTCGTTTGTGAGCATAGTGTCTGCAGTCTTCTTATTTTATTAGTAGATCACCTACTCAACAGCCAGAGTCGTCAGCTACCTAGCGGTCATGTGGTGACTGAGCTATTAAACGCGAGCCGAGCATTCCAAGTGAACATTTGCTGGACTCAAATCACCAACCTTGTAATGTAACGCTCGGCTTCAGTCAGCCGCCGTCTTTAGAAGCTACTTGCGGCAGTTTCAGGCTCTGAGCTACCAGGCTGTCCATTCTCGCTGTGTATCTGACTGCTGCGCTGTGTGATCCTACTATTAGAATTTCGTAAACTTTGTCATCGATAATTTTTCAATAGATTTCAAATCTATCGCAGTAAAATGTTCATTATAATTTGTTTCTGCAATGATGATAAATTTTACTTGTTTTTGCGGTACGAGGTCATCGACATTATTTCTATTAACGAAATGTACTCGCACTCTCATAAAGAAAATCATGATTCATTCCGCTTTCTGGTATATTCTTGAATCATATTTGAACGGTGCGGTATCTAAACTGACTTTCGAAGTCAAAATCTACGTATGAAAAATAGGAAAATTAATGTCATAACTGACAAAATTCTTAGCACGTCTGTTTGGGAATAGTCAGAATAATATAGAAATATCTACTATCTCTTTGAGGTATCCTTATTGTGAAACATAATGCGCTAATCGGTATTACGATGGAGGAGTTTCACTAAGAGTACATCTGTCATTCATTTTTCTATTTGAGGATGGGCTATTTTCTGTTCAGAAACAATTCCTTGTTCTAAAGCTAGACTGTATAATTTCGAATTCTGTGTTTGTTTGGCGTGTGTTCAACATCCTTGTCTGAACTAAAACTAAACATGAATAAGTAGACCACACCTACTTGACAGCCAGAGTCGTCCGCTATCTAGCGGTCATGTGGTGACTGAGCTATTAAACGCGAGATTTCTAATAATTTCAACTAATAGCAGCTATATGCTTTTCGCAGTGGTCGATTTTGATGTGACAGATGACGCTTCACGCTGCCTTATCCTACAGTGGTTTTATAGGGACAGTGGCGACAACAGATCGTCAACGTTTTGATTGGTGCCGCCATTAAGAAGGAACATTTGGATTGTTTACCTTTGCTTGCTGTGCGCTGCATTTATTTCCGTGAATTTGGACTATTAAATGCAGTCTTTCCAAAATTTTAAAGAGGTAAGGATCAAATATTAGTATCCATATAAATAGGTGTATTAGAATTTGGCGATCTAGGTATTCTACGAAAAGTAATAACTATACCTAGCTGCCCTTTTAACCTGTTTTGAATCGTATGGCTAAACAACTGGTTAAAAATGCAATTTTCTCTCGAAAAGTTCCTGAATTTTACGGAAATATACAAATAATATCTCCATATTATTATGGTTTTTATAAAAAGATTTGATCCAATATTTTAAATACAGCCCTCATTAGTACCTAAGTAATTGGTTTGAATATAACTGTTTAAATATTTTTAGACCAAAGTTTTAAAACAAGAGGCCAGGGTGTGCATCAGTAGGGTGCACAAATTCCGCTTCAAAGGGATTTTTGCTGAAACGGTTCCCAAATGATCCCCATTGGAGAAAGAAGTGGACAGCAAAGATGAAAAAGAGAAAATAGTTACTAACAGATTCCTTATCTTTGTGTGGTGTAAGACAAGCCAGTATAGCTTCGCATTTTGAATAATATGCCTATTTTGTATAAAATTAAAGACGAAATACGATATACTATTGAATTGATAAATGTTATTAAATCAGAATCACTACCTACATCGTTTCTCAAATTTTCTATGATTTTGTTTTCGATTCATTTTCCAGAAATGAGGGCAAAAGTGAGAGAACATAGGAAATTGTCAGTGTATGATGTATCCTTTAATACAATGTTACGGCCAGTTCTTTCCAGGTAAAACTTAAGTGATGAGACAATTATGTCAGAATCTTCTGTGATATGGAAAGCGTGTTTAGAAAATACTTTGAAATAGTTTGTTCTCAAAATATTAATATGAAAGATTTTTTCGTTAATAAAATAAAAGAAATACTAGATAATATATTAACTTGTCATAATGTTAACCAAAAATTGTTAGTAGATGGTAGGTAGTTTTTAGGCTCAAACTAGTTAGTAAGAAAAAAGTTAATTTACTCAATAAATATGCAAGACAGTAAGATAAAAGCTATTTAAATATATTCTGTATCCTTACTTAAGAATAAAGTCTTAATTGCTGGTTGAGCATCTTTACTAGCGATCCGGTTTTGAAACCTTATTTTCAAAACATGAATATGTGATTTTTTTGAGAATATGTTTTATTATTTTATTCATGTGTAAAGTGAATGCTTTTAGCTACTTTTCATACCTTAAACTATAATGAAAATGATCCGATTTTGGAATTTTTTCTCTACGAAAGTCCTCAGAGAAAGTCCCGGGTAGCTATACTTATTGTTGGTGAATGCGGGCAAAATGCCCGTACAAGTTAGAATTTATGCAGAAAGATTCCCTGAGCGCCGTCATCCAACACGGCATTACTTCCCAAAATTGATTTCAAAAATACGAAATGAGCCTAATGAAGTGGCAGAAAAAGATAAGTTCATTGTGCATGAGGACAAAAAAGCGATGTTTTCGCGTATGTAGAGAAATTGCTGCCGAGTGTCAAATATCAAAAAATTCCGTGTGGAGAATTTTAAGTGAGCATAAATATCGGTCTTACAAATATCACCAGCATCTTTACGGAGCTGATTATGAACGAAGGCTTGAATACTGCAACTAGTTTTTACAAAGATTCCAAGAGGACAACACTTTTCCTTATACAATTCTTTAGAAGTTTAGGCGTTTTCAACTGAAATAAAAAAGATATTATTCTAAAGAAAATTTGCTCTTAATGGAAGGAAATTTCCAAGAACGTTGACGTTTTAATTGTTGGAGGGGAATTCTAGGAGACATGGTTCTAGGCCTCATAATTTTTGAAGGGCATTTGACAGGAGAAAGGTATTTGCAATTTCTTTCTTGTTAAATTGAACATCTCTTGGATGAAATAGGTTTGATAAATAGAAATGGCATATTTTATCAACAAGATGGCGCTCCGCCCCACAACGCGCCGGTGATATCAGCCCATCTGAATGATGCCGATGGGGAAAATTGGATTGGAAGCAATGAACCAGTTAGATGACCTCCATACGTAGAACTTATTATTCAAAATCTTTATCGAAATTAATTTGTTTATTTAAATATTCAGGTCACCCGATCTAACACCCCTAGGCGTTTATTTATGGGGAACAACCAAAGACGAGTTATATAATAGACCGTCAGCGACACGAAACGAGTAGGAAAACAAAGTAAGGCGACCTTTCATAGTGTTACACCAATGCATCCTCAAAATGTAATACGCAAAACAATTGAGAGAAATGAACTTTGCCAACAACAAAGTGCTCATTTCGAACATTTAATAAATTAAAAAGTATTTATTGGGTAGAATAAGTAAAACATATTTCATTAATTCTTGATTATACAAATAAGTTAGCAGGGAGTTATTATGCTGAAGATTGAATGTTTGAGAAAATTATATTTATTTCGTGAATAACAAAATTATTATCATTTATTAAAGATAACTATTTAAAAATGAGGTAACCCCATAGATAAACTAATCAAAAAAATTACCACCTTATTGTATTTATTGCACACTGAATTAAAAATAAAATATTACAAATATTTCGAAGTTAGATGTCAATAGATAGCAAATGCAGCGTCATTGTACGCGGAATGTCATTTTCTATTCAAATAAGCAAAAATACACCGGGTGTCCCATTTAAAATAACAAAGTTAAAGTCATCTCCGGCTAAACCGGAGGTGAGAGTAAACAATTGAATACACCAAACAGTGCATATTTATGTGATATACCTTCATACAAAATTTCATTTTTGTATTTTTAAAAATAAAAAAAATATAGGGGTGAGACACCTGCTAGGGACACCCGGTATAGCGGACGGTGAAGTCGTTTCATCAATGTCGACAGATTGCAAGGAAGTCCTATCTTCAAATTGAAATTAAACGAGAATAAACTGCGTTTGCTGGTATGCGGTTATTAGGGTATATAGGTGTTATGGGATCGTATCCATAATATCCGTAATATCTTAATTTGGTAACACCGCTGATATCCGGAAAGCAAATTTAATTCCGGAACGTTTGATAATATATTAATAACCTTTAACATTATTGATTACCTATCTATTAATATGATCTATTAAATATATCGATCAAATAGGCATATGGAGTTAATAGAGATACTCGTAGATCGAGTGACACTAAAAATATTGAGTATAATCGCGGTATACTCACGGGATTTGAGAAATCATCCAATAAATGTGCATTTTGTCAGTGGCATTAAATTTCACAACTTCGGTATTCGTACCAGTTATTCATTGAAACCACGCCACTTTAGCAATTCTAGCTAATAAAATATTTTAGTAAATCAAATATTTGGATATCCTATTCACATCAAAATCATTAATTCTCAATTTCTAATAACAGCGCATAATTCGCGAATGCAACATATATATTATTTGAGTATGTGAACGAATTCATCAATAGAATGTGCAGATGAAAAGGTGAATGTAAGCTCATTTGTATAATGGATTATTTTTAGCAAGGTCTCGTACGTCAGAAAGCGTACTGGCAGATAATTATGCTGTTTGTCTACTTTGCCAAATATCAAATAGTTCAGAAACTGATACATTATTTCATGTTTTATTTAATAATTGTTGAGTGATTGGAAAAACGTTGTTTCGGAATCGCTCACACGATTGAAGTGAAACGCGGAAGTGGATTACTATAATTTTAAAAACGTAGAACATTTTTGTATGTAAATAAAAGAAAATAATTTTCAACGTATTTATAATATGTAGGCCAAGAAATAAGAAGATTTTGCATAACCAATTCATGCGAGAGTAATTTTTGTATGTGGTAATAATGATAAGTTCAAATTGGTGTCAAGATAGAACTGGAGCATTTGCCGCAATTTGAAACGCGTTTGATCGAAAATCTTGAAAATCATCAATCCCATGTAAAAAAGTAATAGAAGCAATTTTGTGGGGAATCAAATTCTTCATCATTTTGCTTGTATATAGATCTGTCGTATGGTAAACAGATTACGAGAAATTAAAGGGTAATGGTAATGATTTTTCTGCTTATAAAGGCTAAGCTAGGAATGTAAGAATATCAAACACTATTTTTTTGTAGAAAGTAAAATTTGGTACAAAAAGGTGTTCCGCCTGTTTTCGACACCTTGATGGCACTTGAAATATAAGAAAGGAAAGTTAAAAATTCGTGTCAAAACAGTCCGCGGCATAGCTACCAGAAACGCTGCGAACGTCGTCCACGTAACCTGTATAACTTCATAATCGTTATCCATGTTCGAGAATACCATTTTAGACTGAATCCATTTTCTTATTACCACGTGCAAGTGTAGAAAATGTAATATTTCTTGAAAACTTGCGATATTTTCATTATGAAGCTGAAGTCACTCACTCTTACCTGTTTATTGGCGATTTTGTTACTGAATAATCTCAGTAGCCATTGCAGCGACTTTAATGGAAGAGGAGATGTAGTAAATAATGCTGGTTTAAGTCCACTGCCCTTTCTATTAAGATCGTTGCAACGGTCGCTGAGGCTGCGCAGTGGCAAAACAGCTTTGCAGTGATAAAATGGATTCACTCTAAAATGATATTCTTGATCATACATAATGACTTATGCAGTTCTCCTCACTTGAAAACATTTATGCTGACATGCGGACAATACAGGGTGTTCGTAAAGTTGGGATTTCCCTTTTCCTAGATACAACTACGCTTGATATCACAAAGTTAAAGTGTGGTGAAACGTAAAAAAAATAAATGAAAAAGTACTCACTGTTCAGTTGAATCGAAATTTTAAGTACGGTTCCGTCATAAAACCGCATTTACATCGCAGTCGTACGTCGGATAACTGTACACCGGCGCTGGCGCTGTGGAAGTGATCGAGGGATAGGACAGGACCGGCTTCGGCTTGGTTCAGGTTTGATTGAGTTTGCGTAGCCCAATACCTCGGTTCTCTTAAGACATTGGTGTATATGCTACTAAGAAAATCCGCTGATTTTCTCAAGATCTACACGTCGTGTAAAGGAAAAGCTCAACTTTGCGGACACCCTGAATTTGTAGAGAGTAGAATATGTCTCACGAGCCTTTGATCTATTTTTTGACTTTGGCTCCTTATACTTGAAGAACCATGAGGTAAAACGTAAAGGACCTTTTGGTTGAAAAATTGATATATATAAAAACGGATAGAGGTCTTTTTACGTTAAGGTTGTTAGCTTAACCACTATAAGCTAAAATATCATTACATGTAACTTTGTCATTAAATTTCTCGTAACCTGCTGACAATGCAATACATTTTCATAGAACATGATGATGATATAGAATTTAATTCCTTACAAAATTGTTTTTATAACTTTTTGCATTTTATCGATTGCCTTTGAGATTTTCGATAAAACGCGTTTTTCAAAATTACGGCAAATGCTCTAGCTTGATCATGACGCCAATTTGAACTTATGATAAGGAAACAAACATCTTACGATATCTCTGAAAAAATTTACTGTCGCCAAAAAGATCCTGTTTGTTGGCCTAATGCTAACAGATACAAATTTGGCAGGCCTTGACATTTTTCTCCTAGAGCTTCTTCATTAGTAACATGCAATAATTTGATTAAAGTTAGAACATACGTGACTATATTTAAGAAAAAGAAATTCGGCAATTACAGATTGCCACCCAAATAGGTCGGATAAAGGTGATTGATTAACTTGTGAACCGTAGACGTTTACATGAGATTCACAAATCGATTGTACAGGGTTTGTCCGGAAAGTAATAGGACTCATCTTCTTCCGCCATGACTGTTCTTCGGAGCGTGCGCGCACCGACTGGATTCGGTAGAGGGCGTTCCTAGCTAACGAATGAGCGGCTGGTTAGTTGTCTCCGATCAAATGGAGAGTCAGGACAGGCATTTTCGCGCGACGTGTTTCTGTGAGTGGAGCAAGCCGAAAATGCAGCGTTCGTTAGAGCAGAGGTACGCGAGTAAATTCTGTGTGAAACTCGGTAAATCTGCGACAGAGACGTTTGATATGATCAAGCAGGCTTACCCAGGTGTTGCTTTAGCAAGAAGTGGTGTATTTCAGTGGCATCAGGTTTTGGAGGGCCGGGAAGAGGTCGCTGATGAAGACCGTGC